GAAGCAGGCTCCAGGCTCCCAGCTGTCAGCACAGAGCCCGACACGGGGCTTGAACTCATGAACAGTGAGATCATGACCTGAACTGAAGTCAGTTGCTTAACCGACTGAGCCACCCAGGCACCCGTGGAGCTTACACTTGTAACTACCAAAACTTTTGCTCTCTTATATTAGCTGATTTTGACAGAAATTATTCTGTAATACAAGGTGTTATTTCTTTGTCTTCCAAGCCAAGAGTATTACTTAGATCCCTACACCTAAGGATCTCAATGGGAAGCAGGATTCAAGGTTTGAAGTGATAGCAGGACGTATGAGAGAGGACAGGATGAAAGGCAAACAGGGAGAGGAGGCAAGATTGGAAGTGGCCTGCAGCCATTTGCTCATTTATTCACTCCACAGATACTTGCTGAGTGCCTACTATGTGCCAAGCCCTGTGTTTTTTGAAGATTTAATGAAGATTTAAAGATTTTAATGATGGGCCACTGAAGATTTAATGATGGGCCAGGAAAACGTGCTCACTGTCTTCGTGAAGCCTCCAGTCCAGTGGGAAAGTCTGAGCAGGGAATGTACCAGAGTGGAATAAATACTGTGACAGAGGAAAGAGTGGCAAGAGAAAGCAGTGAGGACATATAAAATGAGACAGCTCCCAAAGGGCAACCTGGAGGGAGTCATGTGACTGGGTGCCGAGTAAAGCCTGGCAGAACCTCCTAGTGTGTCAGTGAGAACTGATGAGGTTTGAGCATAAAACACTGCAGGACTGACATCCTGTTCCCAGAAGAAAGGTGTAGGTGCAGAGACAGGCAAATGTGAAGATCAGAAGGCAACGGAGACACGGGTTTACTTTTCCTTTGGGAGCAGCTATGGCATCTAATGGGATCAAGGTGCTATAGAAGTTGAGGCACTCCCCTCTGATGGTGTGCTACACTGGGATTTAAGGAAGGTATAGCAGGTGTTTTCATGGAGTCCGTTATCTGACTCTAGCGTTTTTAAGCAGTGTCTCAGCTATCTATTTGTGCCTAACAAACCATCCTAAAACTTAGCCGCTTAAGCCAGTTAAGCATTTATTCTGGCTCATGAGTGTACTTATCAATTGGGTGGTTCTTCTGTTCTCAGCTGGGTTCACTAAAGTGCTAGAAGTCATCTGGAGGTCAGGTTGACAACTCTGGTGACCTTGGCTGGTCTCTCTCTCATGTGTTGGGGGTTGATCTGGGATGGCCTTGGCTGGGACAAATGGACCTTCCTTCACATGGCCTTGCATCCTCCAGCAGGCTAGCCTGGATGTGTTTACATGTTATGTCAAAGTTCCAAAAGGGCAAGTTAAAGTGTAAAGACCCCTTATGTCCAGGCTCAGAGCTGACATACTATCACTGTATCCACATTCTTTGGGCCAAAACGAGATTTGAGCAAAGGCAAATAGACTCCACTTCTTCATGGGAGGAACTACAGAGTTATGTTGCAAAGGCGTAAACTCAGGAAAGGGCATGATTGGGCTCATTTTTACAATCCATCCCACAAACAGCACCTTGTGGAAAATGCAGTGTGTCCCTAGTACAACTCATCATGACTCGTGTCTCTGATGTCCTCTAGGCCTTGTCATGAATGGGCATGTCCATTCTTGTGAAAGGAACCCAGGTGTCAGACCCCTCAGGCTTTCCTCAGCCTCCGTTGTACTGGGTCTTGTCTTTCCACTTAAAAAGAGTGGAAGTGAGCCAAAATAAAAGCCGTGACCTATTAAGGCTGTTGGTCAGCTTTACTGACCATAATCATCATATTGATCACTGATATAGCTACATCTGCCTTAGTCAAGAGACAGATTCATTGGAACAAGATGGTTGGCAGATTGCCACATCAAGTCAGAGGGCCATGTGTGCTGATGTTCTTTTAATAAACATTTAATACAGTGCTGGGTGCTTAGATGAGCTTGGGGTCACTGTTAATAAAAGCCTGGGCTCAAAGATCTCATATATTTGGCACAAATGTGCCACCAGCCATTGGAATACTTCATGAGTTCCATTCTCATCTCAAGAAATGAAAACAAGTTTTTCGTTGGTGAAGACAAGAGTCTTTCTTCTCTGTATCTTCTGATAGGATCTTTTGTATTTTCAAACTCTGTTCACATTTTCTTTTCTTTACACTAGGAGAAAGACTGCCTTTTCTTCCTCAGTTTCTGTTATAGAAATCCAAGAAAGGCTAATACTGCTGCAACAAACATGGCAATGCAGATATCTCTTTGAGATATTGATTTCTATTCTCTTGGATATAAACTCAGAAGTGAGATTACTAGATCATATGGTAGTTCTATTTTTAATTTTTTTAAGAACCACCATACTGTTTTTCAGGTCAGGTGCACCATTTTACATTCTTACCAACAGTCCACAAAAGCTGCAATTTCTCTACGTCCTCACCAACACTTGTTATCTGTTTTATATAATAATCATCCTCATGGATGTGAGGTGATATCTTATTGTGGTTTTGATTTGCATTTTGCTGATGATTAGTGATGTTGAGCATCTTTTCATATATTTCTGTTGGTCATTTGTAGGTCTTCACTGGAAAAATGTCAATTCAAGGTCACTTTTTTTTAGTTTTTTTTTTAACTTATTTATTTTTGAAAGACAGAGAAAGACAGAGCATGAGTGGGGGAGGAGCAGAAAGAAAAGGAGACAGAGAACCCAAAGCAGGCTCCAGACTCTGACCTGTCAGCACAGAGCCCGACGGGGGGCTTGAACCACGAACCACATGATCATGATCGTGAGATCATGACCTGAGCCGAAGTTGGACGCTCAACCGACTGAACCACCCAGGCACCCCCAAGATCTATTCTTAAATGGGGTTATTTGGTGTTCTGTTCTGAATGGTAGGAGTTCTTTATATTTTTTTGGATATTAAGCTTTTATCAATTATTTACAATAGCCAAGACATAAAAACAACCAAAAGGTCCACTGAAGGATCAATGGAGAAAGAAAATCTGGTCTGTACATACACAGAATATTATCAGTCTTTAAAAAGAAAGAAATCCTGTCCCACACAACAACAAGGATGGCCCAGGAGGATGTTATGCTAAGTGAAATAACCTGCTCGTGTTTGTAAGGACAAACACTGCATGTTTCCACTTATATGAGGTCTCTAAACCAGTCACACTCATAGAAGCAGGGATTAGAATGGTGGCTGCCAGGGGGTGTGGGGTGGCAAACGGGGAGTTGTTCACGGGTATAAAGTTCCAGTTATGTACCAGAATGAGTTCTAGAGGTCTGTTTCCTAACACAGTGCCTGTAGTTAACAATAATGTATGGTGTACTTACAACAATTCTTAAGAGGACAGATCTCATGTTAAGTGCCCCTACCACAATACAAACAAAAACAAAAACCTAAAAGGGCAGGAGGAAGCTTTTGGAGTTGATGGATATATTTATTACCGTGATTGTGGTCATGGTTTCAGAGGTGTATGCATATGTCCAAGTGCATCAAATTGTATGCATTAAATATGCACACATTTTTGTTTATCAATTATACTTCAAAAAAGTTGTTTAAAAAAGAAAGAAAAGAAATCCAGAAAGGGATCTAATGGGACCAGTTTGGCCTTGGGTGCCTAGTGTGGTCCAGCCAACTGCCTCCAGGAGGTGGGTACTATTGTACCAACTGGACATTACTAATGGCAACCTGTATATGGAGGAAGGGTCTTACACAGTTCTTAGTAAGATACAAGGGGATGAGCAAGAGAGGGGGATGGCAATAAGGTGTAGGATGGATCAAATATTTTTCTATTTGAGATTATCTATTTACTCAGATTAGCTTGCAGGTACTATGCGACTACATAGACAAGTTATCAAATAAAATACAAAACAGTAACAAAAAGCCATATATAGTACTTACTGTGTCTCTGATTAGAAGTATTGAGTTATCCTAAGATTCTACAAGGAGGTAAAGATGACTTACTGATTATATTTTGAACTGTTCTTTCCTGAATGATGCCTGATGATGGCTTTGTAACTTGCTGGTTTATATCTTTTTAATGAACTATGTTAAAATGGTTATTTGAGATCTCATTTGCTGAAATGTGGACTGATGGGGGTTTATTTCATGAGTAGAGCTGATCTACTGGTAGACATCTTGACACCAAATTGCAGCAGAGGCCCTTCCAGTGTGCCATGTGACCATCCCCCAGGTGTCCCTACACCAAGCCCCACACCCTCAGCAACAAGCATCCCCAGTGTGAGCTCTCAGCCCTCACACAGCCCAGCTGTTCGTTGTATGGGTAGACTCCAAGGAAAAAAGTAAAAACATTATGGTTGAGCTTGATAGCAGAAAACAAGCTAATAATCATCCCGATGGATAACTAATATTGCCCATTCCATGGGTAGTGTTCCAAAGGAAGTGTATGTAATAAATGAGAGGAGCAAAGGAACATCTGCTTAGGGCTTTCAATGCTCTGACTCCAAAAGACTCTCGCTGCTGGATGAAATACCTCCAGTGCATACTCCAAAATGTTCTAGAAAACACAAAGGATGTCTCAGGTGCCACACTGAGAAGTTAATACTTTCAGAGCTTCCATTTTCTGGAGGCCACTAGATTCCCTAAAGCGTCTTGTTCCCATCTTCTCCTCCCATCTCCTGATGCTACCACTCCCTCCTGGGATGTCACTGGCTCCAGGACACAGCTCATCTATTTGGCATTAGTATTCCTTACTGAGAGATGGCAAGTAAAGGCTGATGGGTTTGGCAGCAGCAGAATTGTTCTGAGCAGAGCCAGTGTGCACCCTCTTGGTAACCTCAACCAAGGGAGGTTAAGAAGCAAACAAACAAGACAGCTAGCATGAGTTCTTCTCCCCCTCCCTCTCCCCCCTCCTCCACCTTTATAAAGCTTTCCTGAGTAGGGATTGGGTCTCCCAACATGAGATTGGCCAGTGGGAACTCAGTCCCCTTAACATGAATGAACAAACAATTTCAAGTCACATATGTTTTGAGCATCAGCAAAGGACAGGCTTTTTCTCGTAAAAGACTTACCCTGGGTTGAGATCTTTTTTGGTTGGCGCAGAACTGCTTCCGCTGTCTCTTCATGTGCCCGTTACCTGTCCTAGAAAGAGTATAAATGCTGATATAAGCTTGTAGTTCAGGCTTTCCTTATGGCACTATTTCACCTTTCCCTGGTACCAGGAAGGCCCTCTACCCACCACACTCCTCCTCCCCCCAATGCAATTAGCATCAATGGGCTGCTTGCTGGCACGGTTAAATAGGAAACAGAGGAACTGCACTGATTTCTGCTGTTGTGTTTGTGTATTTTCCCCAGTTTGCACACAGAACACAAGAGGACCCGTTCTAACTACTGTTGTTAAATCCTGATTGCTGCTGACACATTATTAAGAACAACAAAGTGGAAGCCCTTTTGTTCTTTGCTCTCTCCAAGAGAACAGCCCACTGGACCCTCCCTCACTGAAGTCAGATGCTCTCCTTCCTGCCATTTCATACATACTTTGACTCAAAAACCATGCATTTGAGCCAAACGAAACACTCTGGGGAATGTTCCATTGTAGAGGTACTGGTTTGGTTCATCTCATGTCAATAAGCATTTGTTTAGGACCTATTCTTTTTTTTTTTAACATTTTTATTTATTTTTGAGAGAGAGCAAGTGAGAGAGTGAGGGAGCGAGCACGAGCAGGGGAGGGGCAGAGAGAGAGAAGGAGATACAGAATCTGAAGCAGGCTCCAGGCTCTGAGCTGTCAGCACAGAGCCCCAGGTGGTACTTGAATCCACAAAAACATGAGATCATGACCTGAGCCGAAGTTGGACGCTTAACCGACTGAACCACCCCGGTGCCCCCAGGATCTATTATTTTCTCTGCCTTTGGGGACGCACAAAAAACCAAGTCACTGCCCCTATCCTCAAGGAGCTCACAGTTTATGGTGGATAAAGAGTTGCCAATTAAGTACACTAAGATGACTTTGGAACAATCTACAAGAAGGAACATGGATGCTATTATGCAAGAAAGGAAGACACTGACTCTTACTGGGGTGAGACAGGAAGTATTTCTAAGGAAAGTGATGACAGAGCCAAATCTTAAAGGAAGAATAAGAATTTTTCAAGCATTTATTCATTCACTCAACAAATATTAAATTTTCCATGTGCTAGGGAGGTAGATTCCAGCAAGTATGTGAGTGAGACCTGAGATTGAGTCATTGTTAGAGAATGGAGAAACATCAGGAAGAGCAAAGACCATGGAGAGGAACCTGGATAGGTAATAGAAGGTGCAGTCAAGAAACTGTGGAAGGGGGCACCTGGGTGGCTCAGTTAAGCTTCCAACTCAAGTCATGATCTCATGGTTCGTGGGATTGAGCCCCACACAGCACAGAGCCTGCTTGGGATTCTCTCTATCCCTCTCTTTCTTCCCCTCCCCCCACTCTCTCTTTCAAAATAAATAAACATTTAAAATTTTAAAATAAAGAAACTGTGGAAGGACAGGTGCACAGAGGAGGGTACGAGGACAGGAGGTAGGACACTGGGACTCAATTCCAAAGAGCCTGAGCTTTACTCTTCAGAGGAGAAAAACTATTGAAGGAACCTAACAGTGACATAATCAGATTTGTGTTTTAGCAAGACAGCACTGTCGTGTGTAAAGGAACAGTGCGGGTGGAGACAAGACTCAAAGAACGGAAAGCAATGAGGATGCTATTGCTGTAATTAACAGAGAAGAGCAAAGGCTTGGGTCTGAATAAAGGCAGTGATATTAGAATTGGAAAAAAGGGCATAAATGTGAGAGTTCAGAAATAATAGGGCTTGCTGCCTGCACAAGTGTAGTGGGTCATCAGAGAAGACTGGAGCAGGAAAGGATTTGCTGGAGGAAGACTATGCGTTGTGTTTTCAACAACTTAAGCTTGAAACTTCCAATAAGTATGTCTTTTGGGCAGTCAGAAATGTGGGTCTTGACTTTGGGAGAAAGGCTGGGTTGGAGGTACTATCTGAGGATTGCCTCCATAGGTGGTAACCAAAGAAAGCCAAGGAAGTAGATAGAAGGACAGCATGGAAAGAGAGGAAGCACAAAGACAACAGTATCTGGGGAATAAAACCTAGCGGAGAGAAGACAGCAAGATGATCTAGACGAAAAACAGAGACAGAAAGCCTCCAGAGACAGAAGAGATCACTCTTTTAGAAGCCAGGGGTGGAGAAGGTTTCAGGAAGGTGGGAATGCAGAAAGAAGTGCTTTTAAAGCTAAAAAATAAAATAAAGGGAGAGAGGGAGAGAGGGAGGGAGGGAGAAAGGGAGAAGGAAAGGGAGGGAGAAAGGGAGAAGGAAAGGCAGGGAGGAGGAAAGGCTGGGAGGCAGGCAAGCTTCAGAGGAGCTAAGCAGGATGAAGGCTGCAAAGAAGCCTTGGACTTCACAATCAGGACATCACTTCCTGAACTTAGAGCAGTTCAGTAGAGTTTTAGAAGACATATAAATTCCTTCCTACTTCAAGTTCATGAAGATTTTCCTTACAAGAAGCAAAAACACAAACAAAAAAAAACCCTTTGACTTTTTTCTTTAAAAACAAAACAAAAAGGTACACATGAACCAGCTCAGGTTGAGTCAAGCTTTAGCAAGTTAGCGTAGTTCTGCTTCCAGTTCACAGTTCAGTGCGGTTAGTATCTGCCCCCAATGCCTTGCCATCTTCTGCATTCTCATATGCCAATGGCTGGTTCCTGGTAATCCTTTCTCTAGAAGGCCCTACTCTTTTCCTGGTTGGTGAGCTTGGGACTTCAGAGGCTGATCTTATCACTTCAGAAATCTTATCACTTAACCTTCTGTCCATAGGTCTGATTACAGAATTTTTCAGCTCACAAGAAACTTGCTTCCAAGAAAAATGCCATGTTTCTTTGTGTTTCCTGTTTTGTTCTCTTCCGTGTCCAGGAGTAAATTTTAGGGCTCTCGGTCACAGCTGTTTTGTAAAGCAAATTGGGAAACCACAACATAAAGTATGTGGGGAAATCTGTCAAGGAAGAAGAAGGAATTGAAAGAAGCAAAGATATCACAATAAAAGAGCCAAAGATTAACCATGGAGCTGGGGGGAGAATGGAAAATAAACCAGAGAAAGGGAGAAAGGACAGCACAGAGAAATACAAAAGTAAAGGTAAAATATTATTTTAAGGTATTCTTATATCCTAAAACGTTTGTTGACTAAATGACCAAAAACAAAGCAAGAGAAAACATGGGGCCACTGTTAACACTGCGTCCTTTGTGACCCTCAGCTGATGGGTACCCTATCCTTCTCATGTTTACAATCCAAGTTGTGGGATAAATCCTGCCTGTTCTAGAAGGTGGGATGAAGTGTGTGCTGGGCAGTGTGGCTGTTGCCCAAGTCTCTCGTATTGCAGAGATGCTCCCTCTTTCATGCTTGCTGGCATTTCATGGATTCAGATCCGTTTGCTCTGGGTAGTAAACAGCCCCCCTGAATGTGTACTTTGCAAGAAAATGATCAGGCTGACTGTCTTTGGAGACTGGTGGGTTAGATATCCCAGAGCAGTTGACTCAGAAACCTTCCTATCATTGCTGAGAGAGAAATATTTGCACACAGATGATGGGCTGATCCTGGGCCTTATCTGGTTGCTAGAATGAACATCCAATGGGTATGTTAGATGTAAGAAACAGTATTCAGCAGGGGTTATTGTCTAGAATGGACACTTCCTCAGGACACTGTCTTTCTGCCTCTTGACTAGTCTAATTATTGGCATCATTCACTCAGATGGTTTCTCCATGAAGAGGTGACGGACAGCTGGCAGGACCAAATTAAGATCCATATAGCATGATAACCACACAGAGAGGTGGCTCTTAACCTTATCTTCAGCTAGAAAAATCTCTATAGAGGGATTATTATCAACCTAGGCTGGATTCTATGCCCATCCACAGACCAACTACTGTGGCCATTGGGATGAAGTTCTGTGATTAGCTCATTTCAGGCCAGGGGTCTACATCTCAATCACGAGCTAGAGAGATATGGTCCCATTAGATGTTAGGTCCCTACAGTTCCTGAAGTCAGTTTTCTGGAGACTGCTGGAAGAAGAGTACCCTTGCTCTTAGCAGAGTGCCGGGCCACCTGAAGAAACTCTCTCTCTTCTGGGTATTGCATGTATGTTTGTGAAGTATGGGGATGCCAAAGCCATTGTGCAAGCATGAGGGGAGTCAGTCAGCCAACCAAAGAGGAGGTCATGTCTGAGGATGTGGTAGAGAAACAGAGCTGGAGTCTCTGGACCAATTCAACCCTGAAGACTCCCTTCCTCAGGCATCATTGGTCTTTAGACCAGTTCATATTGAATTACTGGTTTTGTTTTTGTTTTTCAGCTTGTAGCCTAAAATACCCTAACTGGTATGTGGTAGGTGGAGATTGGTTCCAGAAAATATAAGAGATGCTGAGCAACCAAAAAAAGGTCCACTAAAATGAGGATGATGAGCATGTGGCACAGAGGACATTTGTGGCCAGGTTTAAGGTTAAGGGAAGAGCCCTGGATCTTCACTGATGTTCAGTGCAAAACGCAGGCAGGAAATCAGGGTGAGGCCTCCTCATAATTACTGAACCTCACAAAAGTTCCTCATTACACGCAGCTACCATTTCTGGGAATTGGGTCCGAGGGTGAGGAGTACACTTGGCTGCATTTCACGCCAGCTGTCGGTCTGGGGGAATGGGAAGGCTGGGGTCTTCCCTTCCGGACAGTGATCTCTGAGGAGGTGAAGCTGGTACCTCAAGCTGGGGGCCTAGCTCCTACCCCAGAACCCCTTCTGTGCTTCTCTAAGATCGGCCTCTGACTTGCTGGAGGTGCTGTGCAGGGAAGGGTAAATGAAAGTCAGAATTACACAAAAAGAGGGTTCTGTGAAGTGAGGGCTTGAGAGAAGGCACTCTCAGGGGACAGAGGGCAGCAGGGCAGGGCATGTCTCCACATCAGCTGGAAGACTCCAGCTTGGCCAGCTGCTTGGGAAATGGCTCTTCCCCAGGTGCCAGCTTCTTCCTAGACCCTGTGGCCAGAGAGTTCGCTCATCTCTTACTCTCACCCAAGTCCCAGGGAAGCCCAGGCCCAGGGGACAATGCTGCCTTGTTGTGGAGCTCTAATT